ATACGGGTAAAGACAAGTCTTTCCAGAATCTTTGAGGAAAAAGGGAGCAGGGATATGGGACGATAGTTAGAGGGGGAGGACGGGTCAAGAGATGTTTTCTTTCAGGATAGGTACTACAGTGGCATTTCTAAGGTCAGCAGAGACAATGCCAGAAGAGAGAGAGCATTATGTGTGTTAAGGAAGGCACAAGACAAGGGGATAGAGATCTGATAAGGTGAGATGGGACAGGATTGAGCGGGCAAGTGGTGGGCCAAGAGGAAAGGAGAAGCGCAGCCACCTCTTGATCAGTAGCCGGAGAGAAAGTCTGAAGGGTAGGAAAGGCATGATCTACGTGTGGTTGAGAATGAGAACGGCAAGGTGGGGAGAATTCTTTCCTTAGCTGTTTAATCTTGTCCGTAAAATTGCTTGCAAAGCTATCGGCTGTAAGGTTAGTTTGGAGGATGGCCACAGCAGGATGAAGGGAGGGACTACTGAGACTCACAGAAGGGGAAAGAAAAACACATAGGTGCTGTAGCCTAGGAAAGAGACTAACAGAAGGGCTGGGGCTAAGAGACACATGAAAGGGGCTTGGGGGAGAAAGACACAAAGCGCATCTTCACTTGTGTCTCCTGCTCTCTGTAATTTAGAGTTGACCGGTGAGAGAAAGATTTCGTATTAAATGGACACTATAGTCACCAGAAACACTACAATTGAGTGATAGTTTTCAGTTTTACTTTTTTTCCCCAATTTCATATCTGCACACTATGCTGGCGCGATGCATTATGGAGCGGGTATAGAATTTTTTCCAGGGCTGCTTTTTATTCCCAGTCTGGCCTTGATTGTGCTGGAGAAAAATGTGAACTAATGAATAAGGTGGTAGTTATATGTAAGTATCTGTCGGGTAATTGCTTCTTGATCCAAGGATAAATCTGACTGCAATTCTTGAGTCAAGAAGAAATTTGTTTCCTAGTTTGTTGCAAAATTGGAAGTGATTCAAACTGTTTGTTTTTTTTTTCCTTCTTTTGGATCAACAGCAAAAAACAAATGTAAGGAAGGCTGAACTTGATGGACACCTGTCTCTTTTCAGCCTATGTAACTATGTCATATAAAGCATTCATGCTTTCTCCATTGTATCAATATGCTACAAAGCAACTAAGATGTGAAGCAAAATAGAATGAAAATATAAACATTCCAATCAAATAGAAGTTTGAAAAGCAAAAAAGTGCATTGTGTTGGTTTATAAATACTGGGAACATATACCATCGGAGGCCTACGCCATAGCAGTTGTTTGCTTAGTCCCAAAAGCTGACCTGTAGCTCAGTGCCGCAACCAGAGGTGCTGCCAGAGCGCTGGATGCCTTGGGTAGGTATTGGAGGGCTCTATATAGACTGCTTTCACTGTGTGAATAGTACAGCAATGATGGGATTTTGCTGCAATCAGCAAGACACAATTTTCAAGATATATTTTAGCCACTGTAGTTATTATGGTGCTAGATGTGCCCTGGTGCCATCCCACCATAAGAGGTTGAATGGTTTTAGCACTGTTATTAAAATAATTAATTATTACCATAAAACAGACAATATTGTGTAAGCGGAGACTTTCAATATGGCGAAACTCAGTAAGCTAGTTATTTGAGAGCGAATATGGGATATGGATTAAGCATAGCAGAGCAGACTATTTTAAACGCGATTTATACTATGCAGATGTCTCCAAGTTTACTCTTACCAAATGCCTCAAACTCTGAACTCACGCTGAAACTAACAACAGGGAGGCGTGATGGTCAACACTGTGCCAGTTGCATTGGCTGGCGGCTGAACGCAGAAGACTGAGTGTTGTGAAGGTAAGTATATTATTGGCAATATCGGTAACTATGAAGACCGATTACAATTATAAAAATTTGGTGAATATCGGCTTTAATAATTGATGATCCCAGAGCCTTCGTTTTGACAGCACAAGTGCAGTGAGGAGAATTTATTTCCATTTAGATTAAAAGAAAAGAAAATGGACTCCGATCAATAAATTGTCTAGTTAAACATTAGAACCTTAGAACTAAGATTATAGTATGCTGGCATTAAAAATACCACAGATCAGATCACTGATCATCACTTCTAATGCCATCTCATTATAGAAA